ATTTCATATGTAAATCGTGAATACTGTATAATTTGTTGTACTGTAGTTTTGAATTCCACCTCTATTTCTACGTCTAATATCAAGTTTATTATCATTTACTACTTTTCATACACATAAGCCCTATTTTCCGAAATCTCTTTTTTATTTTATTACACAGACTTAAAATAGATAAACAGTATGGAAGGATCAGATTTTAGCAAATAAGTACAGGTTCCACATTTAGTTTCATTTAGCACTTATCGAACACATAAGTACAATTTTTGAAGACTACGTCCATACCATCACCACCACTAAATTTAGTACCGGTTACTTCCAAAATATTTTTGGTACTTCTTTCTAACTCTCCGTCAGTGACCCACATTCTACATTTTGGATTACCAGCTCTCTCCGTTACTCAAATCCAAATTTAGGGCATTTTCTATTCTATTCGTAGACATAAATTTGATTTTCCATAGTTGTCTCCATAACTCAATACAACACTTTAACAATAATCTAAATTCCAAATCTCCGTATTCAACCAAATCCAAATTGTTCGAAATATAGTACCATTTTGTATTTTTCATACTCATAAGTAAGAATTTCTAAAACTACATCAATCCTACACTCTAACAGTAATCTTATATCGACCAAAGTCCACATTGTACCAAATTTAGTACTTTTCTTACTCATAAGTACAAATTCCAAAATGTACCTCAATTCTGCTTTCAAGTAGTAATCGTAAGTCCAAATTGAAGAATTCCAGCTCTGTCTGTTCATTAAAAAACAATTGTACCAGACTTGGTACTGTACTTTCGTACCCATATTCCAAACCAATCTCAAAATTCCAAACCGGCTTTCAAATAGTAATCGTAAGTTCAAATATCTCTGTCTGTTCTCCAAATTGTTTTCCTACACTCCCACAGTAAACTTAGAACTTAGAACAAAACTACCTCAGTAATGCACTCCAATAATAGCCTTAAGTCCACATTTAAGGATTCCAGCTTACTTATGAGTTTGAATTTCCAACACTCTCTCAATCCTGTACTCTAACAGTAATTGTATTTTCAAATATAATTTTTCCGTATCTATCCATTTACACAAATCTAAATATTACTAAACTTAGTAGCATTTAGTACACATAATTACGCATTTTTAAAATAACTCCATGTCTCATCCAACAATCCAACCTTAATTTTAATTCCAAATTTTATGATTCCCGCTCATACAAAACGAATTGTACCATATTTAGTACCATTTAGTGCTTCTCGTATCCATAAGTACGTAATTACAATACTACCTTAATTCTTTAATTTTTTATTCCAAATTTAAGTTTTCCATCTCTATCCGTTCACTCAAATCTTACTTGTACCAAATTTAGTACCATTTAGTACACATAACGACGAATTGTTAAAACTACCGACATATATCAATCCTGCACTCAAACTTTTATATTAATTCAAAATTTCAGGATCTCAGCCGTATCCGTTCACACAAAAACAATTTGTAAACCATTTGGTATCAGTAGTACTTTTTTCCTACACTTTAACAGTCATTTTAATACGAAAATTCTGGAGTCCAGCTCTATCCGTTCACACATAACTAATCTGTACCAAACACATAAGTACTATGCTTCCATATCTCAATTCTATATTCCAACAGCAACCATTATTCCAAATTTTAGATTTCCAGCTCTGTCCTTTCAAGCAAAATCCAAATTGTACTAAATTTAGTACCATATAGAACTTTTCGTACCAATAAGTACGAATTTCTTTAACACATAAGTACTATGCTTCAATATCTCAATTCTATATTCCAACAGCAACCATTATTCCAAATTTTAGATTTCCAGCTCTCTCCGTTCACCCAAATCCAAATTGTACCAAATTTAGCGCCGTTTAGTACTTTTCGTACACATAAATACGAATTTCCAAAGGTGTTTTTATAGCTCAATCTTCAACAGTGATCCTTATTCCAAATTTCAGGTTTATAGCTCTGTCCTTTCAAGCAAAATCCAAATTGTACTAAATTTAGTACCATATAGAACTTTTCGTACCAATAAGTACGAATTTCTTAAACTACCTCAATCCTACACTCCAAAAGTTATTTTATTCTCAATTAGAAGACTCCAGCTCTAAATGTTCACCTAAATCCAACTTGCACCAAAATTAGTACCATTTAGTACTTTTCGTACACATAAGTACGATTTTTTAATGCTACCTCAATCATGTTCTCCAATAGTAGTCCCAATTCATATTTTCAGGATTCCATCTATATACACTCAACTAAATGCAAATAGTACCAAATTTAGTACCATTTAGTACTTTTTAAAAAACATAAGTACGAAAATCTTAAACCATTTCCATACATCAACACCACTTCCCAACCTCTATTCCATATAAAATTTCAAGATTTTAGCTATATATGTTAAATATATATAAAATTAGAACTAAATTTAGTACTTTTAGTACACTTATAGGTCGAATTTCCAAAAACCCTTTTGTACATCTTCCTAACTATACATCAGTGACCCACATTCCAAATTTCAGAATTCTAGCTCTTCCCGTTCGCCTAATACAAAGGGTACCATATTTGGTACATTTTAGTACTTTTCGTACCCTTCTAGTTCGAATTTCCAAAAACCCAGCCTTATCTCACGCCTACACACCAACACCAACCCACACTCAAAATTTCAAGCTTCTAGCTTTAGCCGTTTCGTCTGGGCGATGATCTGTCAGTCACTCACTCACTCACTCACTCACTCAGTCACTTAACACTAAGCTCTTTTATATATATAGATTTAAGACCAGTGTCGGGTAAAAACCTCACCCATTCTATTAATGAGAGTGATTGCTGTACATATACCCCAGAAGGGTGATATATGTATGTTTTTTTTAATACCTTACATATTCATTGCGTTTATGTCATTTTTAAAGATATTTTTAAACCAGTAAGGTAGGATCAAAAGTCAGACGGGGCCGACTATATGATACCCTTCACCATTTTGGATACATACAAGAGATATTAATATATACAATATCCTGTACACATAGAATCTTTGGAGTACCATTAAGATGGAATCGGGCGAAATTAAGTGTGCTATCTACATAGATATTTGAACCAAATAGAAAAAACACATACCATTCTGAAATCAATGAAAAATTGCATGCCTAACGGACTGACTTGGATTCTTTGTTGTACCATTTGTATGAAATCGAGTAAAATTATGTATGGGAGCTACATATAAATACACGTTTTCACTCTATATTCAATTTAATACGATCTACCAAATTTCGTGTAAATCGAACAAACACTGGCCCTTGGGTGCACCATTTACATAAAATCGATCGAAAATATATATAAGACACACATTATTTTTTCCTCAATTGCATTCGCTATGCAAAATTTTGCTTAATCGGACAAATATTGGGAAGTTGGTGTATCATTCACAAAAAAACCGTCAAAACTATATAATGAAGCTATATCTAAATCTGAACCGATGTTAACAAAACTTCGCAGACATCAGTATGGACCTAATTCAGCAATCTGTGCAGAATTTTGTCCCAATCAGACAAATATTGGGAGTTTGGTGCATCATTTGCATAAAATCGGAAGAAATTATATATGGGAGCTATATCTAAATCTGAATTGTTATGTAAATCTAAACAGATTTTAACAAAACTTCGCTGACATCAGTCTGGACTAATTCAGTACTATGTGCAAAATGTTGTCCCAATCGGACAAATATTGCGAGTTTGGTGCATCATTTACATAAAATCGGACGAAAATGTATATGGGAGCTATATCTAAATCTGAACCGATTTCAAAAGGGTTCGTCCTTGGTCCAAATAAGTGAGCTGTGCCAAATTTCTTCCAAATCGGCCTGTACTTTGTTCACAAAAATACATGGACGGACGGACATGCTTAAATCGACTCAGCAAGTGATTCTATGCACATTCTCAAAAGGAACCATGGGTCTATCTCGATTCTTTCTGCCTGTTACAAACATATGCACAAAGACATAATACCCTGTACCACAGTGTGGTGAAAGGTATAAAAATGACATTTAGCAGGAGCTCAAAATAGGCAACCTCGTAGGTTTAGATAAAAAGTGAATTTCAAGTTAAATATCTAAAAAAGATTTATGCAACAATGAAGAATAATAATTTTATTGACTTTCGTTGTGATCGTCTATTCTATCTGGGCGGCTATGAGTATTTTATGGATTTCAAAAATTTTTAATCCTGGTTGAAATTGATAAGAAAAGGAGTGATGTATTATGTTGTGCTTATTGGAAATATCTTCGAAGTAGTTTTCAACATATATACCACAGTCTTAAAACTTCGAAAAAATTTATTTCAAATGAAGCTTATCCATATATGGGGGCTACATCACGTGGACCGATATATCCCTTTTGTAATACCAAACATTTTGATCAAAATGTATCGTTTCTTTTTAGATTTAATTTGTCGTTCAATTTGCAACATATCGAAATATTCTTCTGAGGTTTAGTTATGTCTGTCCGTCGGACTATTCAAATCATAATAGAGATCACAATACTTGATATAGCGCCTTGAATTTTTGCTACTACTCCTAAGTTGTTTGGTTTTGAAATTATATATATCGGCCTGTAATTCAGCATTAGAGGGCGAAATTCTCTGTGCCGAAAATGTTCCTTAAAATCCCTTGTTTTAATATAGCTCCCACATAAAGGTAGGTATTTTCATGTTCAAGGCATATTTTTATATACTTTTTAAACATAATCTACAAAATTATGTTGAATTAATACAACAATGTGTGTATTTCCAATATACAATACAGTTAAACTACAAATAACAATAACTACAAATCACAATTTTATTCTGTCGGGAATACAAAAAGATGTTCCGGAATGGCACTTTATTCTGCTTTCGGCTTTCTTCAGATGTATTCTCTTGTGGACTAAATTCCCATAAAATAATTACAACCGTATATATTACACGACCAATTAATAATTGAGAAGTATACACTCCATTATATTAGCTTTATTTTCGTCCACGATATTTATTGACAACAATTTCAATAATAAAACACAAAAATGAGATTGAGTATCCACCAGCCAAGAGTAAACCACACAACACAAAATATTCCAACGACAATGGCTCCACATATAAATCCCTGTTGGGTATAAATGATATATCCCCTTGTCGTATGCCCTCCTCAAAGGTTTCCGTCTCCAGGTACATTGTAATTCCACTGGCAAAAATATTTTCCATATGAGACATTAGAAGATCCTGCAACGGCCAATATGCCCTCATTGGAATTTCTCCAATATCAGTTGTCACGGCCTCGTCCTCCAATTTCTTCATGCGAGGACGTGATAAATACTTTTGCTGGTACAAGAAGAAATCAGTTTCAGCGTTAATGCCAAAATATACATAGTCCGTATTTAGTAGCTGCATATTCCTCACAGCTTCCTCTTCGGTGAAAACAACAGTTTGTTGCCTTATTCGGTCCGGTGCTTTGGTTACCTCCAAAACATATTGCTGGAATTCGGTGGTCACAATGGTGAGGTTGTGGTCCAGCACATCTTGGATACTCTCAATTTCTCTTTCGTAGATTTTGGTGAGCAAGAGGGCTGATAACACCGCCAAATAATAATTTGAGATCATGAAACCACTGAATATCAAAATTGTCTCAACACCATAGTGATATATGGGTGGCAGATGTTCCACACTGAATGATGCACATATTAGACTAGAGAATGTGGTGAAAATACTATTGACCAACCGCAACTGACCATATTCCTTGTACTCGATCAGAATCAGCAAAACAATGGTCGAAATAAAACTAATTGCAATGCAAATCCACACATCGATGGTGAATGGTTTGCGAAAATAATTGTAATTTTCCAGAGGTTTATCGAACGGTACCACCAAATGACTGGACACCACATGCAAAGGTCGGGTGGTCTCGATGCCATTGCCAAAAAGTATGGCATCACTACAAATATCCGAGGTTTGTTCCAAAATCGACTCTATACAACTTAGTATCGAGTATGACGACATGTTGGGCATAATGACGTAATCCATGGTGGCATTGAACCGAGAGATAAACATACTGACAATGTGACCATAATATCCACCCAGTTGTAGATTACCTTCTTCGTCGAAAAAGGCGTTAACACGAGGTGGTTTGCTGCCTACTGCAACCTTTACGGGATAACCCTGCAGATTTACAACGCGATTTTTCCTCATGACAATGTAATCATTCAAATTGACACTTTTAATATTCATTTCTGGTATTGAATCCATGGTGAGATACATTTCAGCTGCATTCATTAACAGGACACGCCAGAATCCTTCCGTCCAACACCACTGAAACAACCAATGCCATTCGTCTTCTTCCAATTCCGTTGAATTCGTGTAAAACAAGACATCAGCCAAATGGAGATTAAACAACGAAGGTTTTATAAATTCATTCAAATCTTCGAGGCCGAATACATCCAAGCGAATAAAACTTAAAACTCGTTGTCCTTGAGATCTTCTTAAATCCTTGGCAGTTTCATTGCCGCCTATTACCAATTGTGGTAGATTTGGACTTTCCAAGACATCGAAGGTTTCTTGATTAACAAACAGTAACAAGGTATAAATATCCAATTCCTTTTGAATCTTGTCGATTACTTGATTTATCAAATTCGGTTGTGCGTCCTTTATGCAAATGATAATAATAAAAACAAGTATGAACTTCATCATCTCGTTTACAACTGAAATGTATTTAAAAAATGCATTTATTTTATTGCTGTACTTTATTGTGTGCTGGAATTAAATTGAGTTGGGGAGTTAGATCCCTTAAGGATTGAAATTGTTTTGAAATCCATAGAACGTTAATGTAAATGAATGATTTTATTTCATTGCCTAAAATGTAGGTCAAAGGGCTAATGTTAAGAAAGTAGAAGTATGGTTTATTAAAGGTTTCTGTCTCCTCGACAATTTTGCACATGTCTCATTGAAACAAATGTTGTATTACTGTTTTAAATCATTTTTATGGGGGCTAATATTTTAAAATAACCACCATGCAAATGTCTCGTTTGATTTTCGGTATGTTGATGTTGTTACCCAAATTTTCCAACCGGAGGATTTGTAACTAAAAACATTATTTTTAGATGATAAAATACCTTCTATCGCACAATGCTTTAAGGAATTTTGGGAATTTTGAAAGCACGCTGTGGTGGGCCGGGCTGAACTTATCCACGTATTTACTTGCTTCCAATATACCAATATTGCCCCCAATATTCGGTATTGTGAAGATTTTGGACACGTTTTTCAACCGAATTGGCTGTAATTTAGTATTTGAGGTTCTCATTGTATAGCACATGCACATACTAAAAACCAGTGAGCGGAGCAGTATAGTCGGACGGGGCCGACCATACGATACCCTACACGACTTCCATGAAAATCAAACATTCTGCGCTACTATACTCTGAGATTTTGCAATATTTCGCGATATTTGCACCCTTTTGACTGACTAGAGGTCAGCAAATGTTACTAATAATCAGTGGGTTGTGTTGTGATGTTCGGCTTTCGACTCGAAAAGTACAAATAATTAAGTTTTCGGTCCACTTCATCCGAAAAATTATTATCTGATCATTACCTAACATTTTAGGCGTTATCCTTGACCTTAACTGGAACATTTCAAAGCGATCAGCGCTATATTTCCGCCCTCAAGTGTGGTAATTGGTTACTAAATAATATATGAATACGTAAGCACCTGTAAATATTTAAGTGCAACTCCCACATCCGAGTACCTACGACAATATAATTGGTATCAATTTAAAGGTCAACCACTCCTCTTGGATATTCTGCCAACTTCTCAGGTATATGTCCTTGAGTGGTAAATATATACTCTATAGAATACAATTTTTTTCGTTTTTCACACAAAAGTTAGGGTCAATTTGGCCCTCTAAATATTGACCGATCTTTATCAAAACAGGCATGCTTATTCATTGACCCGATCCCCTTCTCCATGCAAAAATTCGCGGTGTTTGGGCCATAATTGCGGCTTCTGGAGCGACCAAAAAAACCGACAAAAATAAAGTTTTTGGTTCATTTTATCCCCTAAATATTAACCGAAATATATAACAAAATTTCGTGAAGATTGGTCCATAACTGTGGTCTGTATCGTGTTTACAAATTATAATGGACAGACGGACGGACACACATGTCTAGATCGACTCAGCTAGTCGAGATATAACGATCGGTATACTTAAACGTGGGTCTAGGACCAATATTTCGCGGCGTTACAAACATTTGGGGCTGCACAAAGCTATAATACCCTGACAACATAGTTGTGTAGGGTATAATTAAAATATTAAATTAATACCTCAATATTCGGTATTTTTTAAGTTTTTGGACACGTTTTTCAATCAAATTGGCTGAAATTTTTTAATTTATGTTATCATCGTATTGTGTCATATTGTATATGTACCAAAAATTATGAATATAACGGTACCTCAACATCTCTATACTAAAAATTGTTTCATTACCCAAAATGATCCGTATTGATCCCCGTTTTGGTGTAGTCCCAAAAAAAGCGCTAACCCTTCCAATTTCACACACCTTTTTTCGGTATATTCAAAGTTCTTTCATAACATGTGTTTTCTCCGAGGAGCCCCCATTAATTTCACATATTTTGGATGTCATCCTCATGGTGGAGGGCATAATAAGTTCGGCCGGGCGAACTTAACATATATAAATATAATTTATATAATTTATCATTGTAATTAATATTCCGATTATAAAAAAATGTCATAAAAGAACCCCAAATGTCTGTCCTGCGAACCCCAAATGCGACCAAAATTTGCAGTCGTGTCAATTTGGTAGCAACATCTGAATGAAATCGAAAGTCGTTCACTAATAGAGCATGGGATATTACAACCCTCTATTTCTCTCTGTCTGGAAATCTTACCCGTTTTGGCCCGACCGGCAGTGATAGTTTTTCTAGAAGCACCGACATTTTTAGTAATCTCAATAAATTCCAATGCTGGTTAACTGTTTATGTAAATCAGGGCTGTCCACACTAATACATGCAAATGTTTGTTATTGTATTTGTTTCAAATACACAATTTTCAAATTTATGTTTCTCTCTTATTAAACTGTGAGAAAAATCCCAATTCAAATTTGAAGACAGAAAAACCTTTTGTATTCAATGCAAATATGCTTTTTAATGATATATTTTCCTATATAAAGATAGATTTGCCTCTGTTTCGCCAATCCCCTTTGTATTGGTCACATATTTCGAGTTTTTCTGAACTAATTTTTGCCAAAATGTCCTAATTTTTTCGTTCAGTGAAAAACAAAAAGGAATGAATGACAATTTTGAAAATATTTTTTATTTTCAAATGTTTCTATTTTTATCATTGTGTGTGTGAGAGTTTTGACACACACCGACAGCCCATGGGACCTATTTTGGGCACACCTGATGTAAATTAATATTCTTTTTCATTAAGGTAATCTTGTGTATTCATTGATATTTATTTTCAATACGAAACTTTTTTTCTTTTTCAATACAATAATTTGAAATATTTAATCAGAAAAAAACGAAAATGGGACAAGCCCGTCTTTACGATTCCCGACATTACTTTGGTTGTCATCTTAGGATTTATATTACAAATACGAATTTGAAATGATTGGCGCATAGAATCGCCTGTAAATACATATGGGACATACATTTATATCTGAATGTTGATTGTTCCGTTGCATATTATCAATTGTGGTATACTTGGTGTATTAAGGACATCTAACAGCGCTCACAATTAAATAATAAATGGACATTTTAAAACTCATTTATTCAAAACGGGTAAAGCTTTTTGTTGAATTCTCTATGGATTTCTAATTGTTTTGAATGGAATGCATAGATATTGTTTCAATACAGTGAATATACAATCCTGCACAGAATGGGATAAAAGGCTGGCGTGCAGAAAATTAAAAATGAATGAATGAGGTAAGCGTTTGGTATAACTGATCAGATATCATCTGGAATGAATTACAGCATATCATATAAGAAAATATAATTTGGAAAAATCCTTCCAAACGTTCTTACTAAGTGGGAGGAAGGAGGAAAAGGCCGGAGTTGCCAAAGAGGTGACCCCACATACTCAAATTCAATAATAATCGTACTATTTAATGCGAACTTGCAGCTAGTCAAGAATGTCTCTTTCAAATTTCAACTGAAAATCTCAACTCCCCTTGGAGTTATAGCTGGTTTATTGTGTCAGCATCAAGCGACGGCAGGTGCGCTTTTTAAGCATTAACACTAGATTTACGGATGTACTGTTACGGAAGTGAGCCAATTTGACTCATAGCAGATTTTTTTTTTTTTTTTGTAAAGAAAAAAAAAGAAAAATCATAGAAAACTTTTTCACAAAACTTAATTTTTATATCCGCTGCCTAGAGGAAGAATTTTTTGTCCGGCTGGCATTTATCTGGTTATATGATTTGCACTATAACTTTGGAATGGAGTTGCCGATTTAATCTAAACTTTGCACTTCGTAATACTTCTTCCAAACTGAAATCATGTCCGCAGATGGAGAATACCAGCCAACTCTTTCTAGTACTTCCAATACAAATGTTAAAATTTTGGTTGAAAAATAAATTTATAACATCCTGCGACAGGATATTTTCCCATGTAAAGACATGGACCTATAAGAATTATTTTCTGCGCAGATGTGTGTCAGACTTCAATATCTGGAAATGCCAAATTTGGCAGGGTACGGAGAATGATTAAAATACGCTCTTTCTCACGAAGGCTCACAGCGAGAATTCGAATGTTTTCAATTTATCGCGAATGATAAAATTACAATGAATGAACAAACATTTGCAATCCATCGCGAATGTTCGCATTGTGCGAAAAAATTTATGAATGATAAAATTTCGATGCAAGCCCCGTCGATTCGATCTTTCGCAAGTATTTGTTGCTGAAGAGCATTCTTTTGAAAAATTCAAAAAATAAATGTTCGCGATTGCTCCCTAGCTCTGTTAAAAACAGCAACAAACAAAAATATCATAAAAAAGTAAATAAAGAATTCGCAAGCATTCGCGAATGTTTGTTTTTATTCTTGACCGAATGCCAGAAAGAATTACAACAACCAAACGAAACAAACGATCGTTGTTGTGTGCTCGTTTGTTATGTGTGTATGTGTGCAAACATTCGTTTGACGAATGCTCGTTTGGTAAAGAATTTATCGCGATAAATCCATTCTTGAAATGAGCCCAAAACGAAAAGAACGTATTTTGAATGATTCGCGGGGGAATTTTTGCGCACCCTCCTTTTTGTTTGAAAATGCGGCTAATTGAGTCAAAATATCGAAAATTGTTCAAGACCTTTACATGGGAGTTATAACAAAGCATGGACCGATATACCCCATATGCAATATGAAACATCCTAGGAGTAATATCAATGTCATTGCGAAATTTCAAAGCTCTGTCTTTAATATTACGATCTCTATCCTGATAATAACACTCCACACTGTATCCTATGGTGGAGTCATTTAAACTTTGTTACTTTTTTTTACTGGTTGGAATTAAAATTAACCGCTGTTTGTTGTTATTGTTGAAATTCACGCGCATCTACATATAATAAATTTGTATTTGAAAGTCACGATTATGACTATCTACATTGATGATTATTATTGCATGTATGATAAAGATGCTGATGTGATGCTGCCATACAATTCTACGTTTCAGCACTTCATAGA